TTTTGACTTTCATGAGCTATAAGTTCTAATCATCAAAATGAAAACAAAAAAACATTTGAAATGTTTTACTTTACATGTAATGAATCTAGAATATATGAAAGTTTCACCTTTTGAAATAAGTTACAAAAAAAAAGAACTTTTTCATGATATTCTAATTTTTTGAGATGCACCTGTATAATAGGTGAAATTATTAGTAGTGCATCTGATTGTTTTTTGTTTTTTTTGTATTAATAAACCCCAAATTACCTACTACTTCCGCCCAGATTTTGATATATGCATACTATGGACAATTTACTATCCATGAGGCCATGGGAAAGGAGTTGTAAATAGACATATTTTTGTAGGCCAAACCCAGAAATGAGTTAGCGTTTTAGCACTTCTGGTTCCACGTCCTGAAGTCAATAGGTTTTTTAAATGGGTTTTTGTTTAAATGCCTAAAATAAGGTCTGTGGTGAACACAAGCCAAGATATTTTCATGTTTTATTCTATGACATAAAATACATCAGTGATGTGTCTTAAAAAAGGAGATTGCTAGCAAGTGGCTAAATGGGACTACAGAGGTTATCAGGAATATTAAACATCATCATGCTGAACAGGTAAACAAATCTATTCACTAGTCTGCTTTTACAGCCTCACTGTTTTGTATTATCGCGCTCTTGCAAACTATTCTTTTGCTGAGGGAACCATGGTGATGCTAACTTCTAGGTTGGACAAAAAATTTCATCACCACAGCACTATGAACAAACCTTTTTAATGTTCCCGAAGTTCATTTCTAATCAAATGTACAGTAGTACCTTCTCAGACAGCATGGAATTTTGGACACATATATTTACTAAAAGCTACTAAACAACAACAACAACGATGACAAAACAGCTGCATCCAAAATTGCATGCTTTCTGAGTAGGTACTACTTTTGAATTACTATGCTCTATAAATGTGTGTAGTATGAATGTACTACATTCGTCTGGTCATTGTCATGTGACCTGAAGTTGCATCACTTCACTGCCATTCACAAATCCTCTCCTATGGCCTTGTGGGAGTCCACTGGAAGCACACTTCCGAATAGTAGGTCATCTGGGGACTTTTTGCCTGCTATTTTATGAATACTGTGAATTCGGACATGCTACTCTGTTCACATACTGTTTTTCACCTACTATGCAGTAGGAAAATATACAATTTCAGATGCAGCCAGTAACTTGCAAACAAACTCACATTTTACTGGCTCTTCTTCATCCCTTGGTCTTGGGGGATCTTTATACTGACACTCATTGGTGTGGATGCATGAAATTTATTAACTTTGTGACCAAATTTTGTGTTGTCAGTGTTTTTCTGTGAAAAAATACTAGTTTTATTAGTATATGATAGTAAAAAAAAAGTACAACTATTTTTTATAATAATTATTATTGTGTTAGTGTGTTGTGTGTGGTAGAGTTTGATCCTGAACTACTTCTTTAGATGTGTATTGCTGCTGTTTGTTTTGTATGCATGTGGTTTGGACAGGAACGCTGTTGGTGCGGATTCAAACTGTAACTCAGATTGATGACAGCTCTCTTGAACAGACGCGCAGGTGAATTTTAATTGCCTGACACTTCTCTGAAAGGTATGTACAGTAAGGGCGTCTAGGACTAAATATCTGTGTAGGAGTGGATGGACACGCACGCACAAATGAGGCCCCTCAGACAGCATTTTTAAAAAATATATATATAAATAAAAGTGAACGTGACACTCTGGAGAATTGTTTCTTTCAGTCATGTCCTTCCCTTGAGCTAGACGCAGGCAATAATGCGTTGCTTTCTTTCTAATTACTCTATTCGTGTGTGTGCGTCTCCTGAAGGCTTGGGTGTTTGGCTGTCTACCTAGACAGTATTTTTAAGGCCTTTTTAGATACTTCATTCTGGCCAAATTCAAAGGCAGCCTTTCCAGAGAAGGTGATGCCAGAATCCTAGGAAATACGGATTACAAATATATATATATATATCATTCTATCAATCTAATTTGTGTATTTGTGTATGTTTTATGCTTATATGCTGAGTATTGCTTCATTAGTGAAATGCTAATGTCAAGGAATGTGTGCTTCACATTAGAAGCTTAATGAGTTGTTGTCTATTAAAACATTTCAAATAGTCACTTATGAGTTTTCTGGAAAGCCAACTGACTATGTAGGTGCCCTTTAAAGGTGACATATCATGAAAATCTGACTTTTCCAGGTTTTAAGTGCTATAATCAGGTCCCCAGTGCATCTACCAACAAAGGAAACGTGAAAAAGATTGAACCCAGTAACTTTGTTTTGGGAAGCTTTTTTCTGCAAGCCTCTGAGAAAACGAGTGCGTCAGATTTCGCTCCCTTGGTGACGTGGCAAAGGGATCTCATTATAATATTACCGCCCCTTAATCTGTAAATTTCGCCGTCATTGTGTTTTCACAAGCCACAACGGTGTACCAGCTCTAATGCCATGGTGAAAGTTTGAGCAAAACATGCTAACTGTTCTGTCTTTGGCTGCACAGACAAGCACAGAACACTGTCAGAGGAGACAGAGAGCAGTGGATTTATTGATTTATTACTGTATATTGCTGCTGCCAAACAGATCTAAAATAAACATGCGATTTATTTCCCAGCTGTTTACCTTCACAGACATAACCGACTGTCTTTGTAACTCATGTGTGTTTTTAACGTAAACTTGTGTGTGAATGAGAACTAGTCAGGTACAAGGGAGAAGGCTTCTTACATTAGGTAAGACAAAAAGTTTAATTTTCGCAACTTGTTTATCGACTTGTTAATAGCAATTTGCTGTGGAATATGTGCCGATCGGGTCCAGTCGGGTCTGTGTCTTCCCGGCCGGGTTCGGGTCCATCTTTGAAATAATTGACGGTCCGCGTCGGTTCCGGGTAGTACATTTTTGACATTTCTCGGTTCTGCACGGGTCGGGTCCAACTTTCAAAATAATAGACCGGTCCAGGTCGGTTCAGAGTAGCACATTTACGGGTCTCTTTGGGTTCGGGTGCGAATTTTTGGACCCGTGTAGACCTCTACACTGAACACTATTTAGAGTCCCAGCCTCAGAGGAGACAAGCAGTGGATTTATTTACTGTATATTGCTGCCACACAGATCTAATATAAACATGCGATTTATTTCCCAGCTGTTTACCTTCACAGACATAACCGACTGTTTTTTGTAACTCGTGTGTTTTTAACGTAAACTTGTGTGTGAATGAGAACTTCGTTTAGTACTCACATGCTGTGACAGCCGCTTTCTGTCTGTCCGTGTGCTTCGGATGTGTGCTCTCAGAAAACCTTATATCAGAAGTTTAAACGCATATGGTTTAAAACGCATGATTTCAGCGCGATAAACATGATAATCAGGACCAAAACAGATGTTTTATCAAGTACAAGCTGTAATGGCGCAGCTCTATTCTGAAAAGGGGGCGGGGAGTAGCAGCTCATTTGCATTTAAAGAGACAGGCACGAAAAACAGCTTGTTTCTGCTTCCACTCAAAATAGGCACTTTCAAAATGATATAATAAATGATCTGTGGAGTATTTTGAGCTGAAACTTCACAGACACATTCTGGGGACACCAGAGACTTATATTACATATTGTAAAAAGGGGCATAATATGTCTCAGGGATGTCACTGGCGATGATTACCAGGTGGTGTACAGCTGTCCTCTTGGATAGACATTTTGCACTTCCCATAGTTGTAGACTGGTAAAAAATAACTTAATTAGAGGATAAATGTCTGTTTATTATGTAAATATGTGTGTATAAAGTGTGGTGTATCAGATCCCTTTCTAGTTTTCTGGGTCTTGATGATGACCTTCCTTTTGACCCTCGTCATCCCAAATCCATCCGCATGAGCACATAAACGCGATGCACACAAAGCCAAAAAGCAGAGCATTATGAATATATCATATATTAGGTATGAATCATGCATACAAAGTTACAAATAAACATGAAAATAATATGCTGCAGTCAAAACTGCTAACAGTATGCACATAGATCTCAGTTTTACACATTCATAGAATATATTTTATTTTACCAAAAAAGTTTTTCCACACACACGCACACACAATTTTATATATATATTTATATTCATAATATACTATATATTTAATAGATTTTTTTGTCTTTTCTGGTGAGGTTTTTTAGGTATACGTATTGCTCCCCTGGAATGAATGCCTTTCACTTCTGTATTCTGTCTCTTTCTTTTTCACCTTTTTGACTTTCAGTCTCAAAAGTAGTTCATTATAATTATTATCCCATCGTAACAATATTAAGACTGTTAATATGATAAATAAATCAAATATATTTATATGAAGACTAACTATTTGTACACTTACGGTTACAATGAAAGATTCCACAGATCTAAATATTAACAATCTTTGTAAAAACTAAAAAATGTCATCATAATAATAATAATAGTCGTCACACTCTCGCAGAATTAACACATGCTTGACACTGAATGACATCGTGAAATATAGTGTCAACATGTGCAAGAAAGAAATCACAGTTTGAGTTTATCAATCAAGAGGAAATAAATAAAAATGGATAATTGTGCAAAAACAAAATAACTTGATAAAAATGTATAATGTATAAGTTAACCCAGCAAAAACAATTAGCATAATAAAAAAGAAAAACATCAACTATATTGGAATGCTAAATAAGTTACAGACATAATCGGATGATAAAGCACTGGAATTGAAAGAGCTCGAAGAACTGAAAGATCACCATCACACACATCGAGTATTTCAACATGAATCAATAAGGAGTGCGGATGGAATTCTGTTACTCAAGTCACCATGTTCAAAAACGAGGAAAAAGAGGATGTATTGCCTTCTTATTCACTTCTTTGTCGTCTTGCAAGCGGACCTTGTTTTGTTTCTCAGCCCTTTCTTGCTCTTTTTTTCCCTCCCCCTTTACTTCCAGTTCATGTAATCGCTTGTTTTCCCCGCCACTCTCTTCCCTCCCCCCTCCAACCTTTCGTTACACAGGTGTTGTTCTCCTGTTGAGAGTGTTAGTGTTTGAACTGTCTCCTTTACCAAGCCGATCCAAGGTTCCCAGCCCTCGATCCCTCTCCATGGTGGCGGAGGAGCCGGCAGACAGCGGCGCCTGCTGGGGGCCGGAGGAAGACGAGGTGTTGAGGGTGGCGTTGGTCGACGCAGCCAGGTTCGACTTGGAGAGAGAAGGCAGCGTTCCCGTCATGAGCGCTCCGCCGCCGCCCTCCTTCGTCGGAAAGTAATTGTGCAGCTGGTAGAGCGTGGCACGGTCGACTGTACCATACATGGGCGGCTTACCTTCCCTGCCGAGCGTGTACATGGATATATCCCCCATGCCTCCTCCGGAGTGCGTGTGCGGATTGGGAAGCGTGGCTACCGAAAAGGGCGGCGGGCCGGTGGCCAGGGGCGGGCCGAAGTTCTTGGGAGAGATGGCGGAGGTGGGGGACTGCTCGCGGGAGCGGGTCGGCTCCGCTGTGGACCGCGAGCTGGAGCGGGAGGAACGCCGCCGGAAGCGGTATCCCGGCAGGCGTAACACGGCTGAGGTCGTGCTGCGGAAGAGGTCGGTGCGCGAGCGGCAGCGCAGTTCTTTGTTGCGCTCGATGTAGATGTTGACGGCCAGCACGCCCACCACTTCCGCCAGGATGAACGACAGGCCGCCGAAGTAGAAGGACCAGCCGTAGGAGTAGTGCCACTTCTTGTCCTCGTCCTTTTTGGGAGAGATGTCGCTGAGCGCCGCCGAGATGTATACAATGACACCTATGATGTTGCTCAGGCCTGGATCAATTCAAGACAAAATGTATTTTTTGCTTGTTTGGTCAGCAGTTTTATTTTTAATACAAAGCAAGGATTTAAACACTTTGGGGTGAATTCACACCTGTTGGTGCCGTAGTTTGTTGAAACTAAATTCTGTTTATAAAATCTCTAATCATGACAGCCAAATATAAATTACACCAGGCTAATAGCGCTGACTTGAATAATGTGCTATAATAAACTTAGTTTGCATAGAAATTAGGTGTGATTTTCTGAAAAGAATGACAACGGATTAAATGTTGACATTTAATTATTTTTAACATTTAATACTTTGACTTAAATAATGACATTTTTTATTTTTAATATAAAAACAAGACATTTAAATCATTGTTATTTTACTATTATTTATATACTAATAGTATTTATTAACATTTTGAATTAAATTATTTTTATATTTTAAGTTTCATTTTAGTTTTAGTTAAAATGTTTGTAATTTTGTTGTTTTTATCATTTTTAGTAAGCTTTTTAACTTTTTAAAATTTCATTTATTTTTAGTAATTTTAGTACTTCAACTTATTTCAGTTACTTGCCAATGCAACATTTTTAAGTTTTTTTATCTAATATAAATTTTTTATTTAATTAACGAAAATATTTTCAATAGCTTTAGTTTTACAGAAGTTCTAGTTAATAAAAACAACACTGATATAATTTGCTGGATTGTAGGTAATTAGTGAATAAGACATGGAAATACGGCACACAAAAGTGTCAAAAAAGTTTAGTGAATTCACCCCATCACAAATGACTGTAAATTAGGATTCTACAACTATGAGACATATTACCTGCCACTACAAACAAAATGCCTGCTCCCAAAATGATGTGTCTTTTGGTCTTGTAGAACCGACTAGAAGCCACACACACTCCACCTAGCAGCAATAATATGGCACTGAGGATAGGAAATATACTGGAGGCCCTGACTACGCCTGAGAAGATAAAATAAAACAAACAAAAAATGTCAAAAAACATAAGTTCAGATGCATTGGTTTTTCCCATACCCCTGTGTTTATAATGTAAAAATCAGTTATAGTCCATAAAACATGCACAAATCAACACTCCTGACTCACGTAAAAGGTACTCTGCAGCATCCTGATCATAATCAGCATCCTCTGGGAAATGATTAATCTGGGAACATACTCCTCTCTTCAATCCTAAAGAGAATCAAAGAGAGAGATCATTCAAAAGTGTCAATTCTGAACAAACTAAAATAAATGGGTGACGCAACACTTGCTTGGGTAACTTTGTTTGAGTTCAGCCTGCAACATTGCCCAGTCCAGTCTCCCCTAATCATTTCCTGTCTTATTTCTCAATATCCCTATAAATAAAACTGACAAAAGGCTAAAAGAAAAAAAAAGGTGTCTGAATGGAGTTCAGTCAAACAGTCGGTGAGGTGTTTTGTTGGAAATGGATTCAGAGTAGATGTCAATGGCTGTGAGTCACCCCAGGTCAAAGGCGTCATGCAGTGCTCTCCTGTGTGATATAAACCATTCACTTTAGACAACATGTTGATGCACTGCATATGCCCAGTGTCTCCCAGTGCTTCCTGTTTTCACTTCATGCTACAAGATGGCAAACGAGAATGTTTAATGCCTTTGTGTGCCAAGAATCTTGGAGAATTCTGTGTGAACCCCCCCTATTTTATTCCTATTTTTGCTTTTCTAGTATATAAGGATGACCAAGAAGGCATTAATATTTCTATGAAACTGTTTTACCTTTGGGTTTTCACTGGGAACACAGAATCTACAGTGCCATGGTAAATAAATAAATAAATTAGTTTAAAAAAATTTAATTCTATTAAAATCTAATTCTATTAAAAATCTATTAAAAACAGTCCGAAAAGTGAAATATGACACTTATGTGTAGAGGCTTTTGCAACAGAATTCTTATTGCAAAAAGTATTAATATTTTAACAAAACCAGTCATAAGTAGCACGGGTATATTTGTAGCAATAGCCAACAATACATTGTATGGGTCAAAATTATCGACTTTTCTTTTATGCCAAAAATCATTAGGATATTAAGTAAATATCATGTTCCATGAAGATATTTTGTAAATTTCTTACCGTAAATATATCAAAACTTAATTTTTGATCAGTAATATGCATTGCTAAGGACTTCATTTGGACAACTTTAAAGGCGATTTTCTCAGTATTACCCTCAGATTTTCAAATATTTGTATCTCGGCCAAATATTGTCCTATCCTAACAAAACCATACATCAATGGAAAGCTATTTATTGAGCTTTTAGATGATGTATAATTCTCCATTTCAAAAAAATGACCTTGGTTTTGTGGTCCAGGGTCACATATATAGTGGACAGTGCCATTTTGTAAGAAACACTATTAGTAAAGAATTTCCCTTAAAAAACAGATCAGTTTGTGCTATATAAAGCAGAGAACCAAAGTGAGCAATAATAAGTCAAAATGACTTTGTTTTTGTCTGGTTTGATTATGCTGCAAATGCAACGAGAGAGCAGCATGGCACCTTTGACCTGCGATGACTCACCACATAATCATAGCCATTGACATGCACTCTTCTAGGTTTCTAATGCAAATGGAAACAATACAGCCCATTTTTGTTTCAAACCTGTCTCTTGAGACCTGGCTAGAGCAACTACTGTTAAAACAACTAGCTTAACATGGATACCCTGCATTGCAGAGCGCAATGGTTAAAAGGATCTGGAGGCAGCGCTTCCCACAATGCTTTTGATAACTTTAAAGTAACCCTAAAGCTAGACAGTGAAATCAGTTTGTGTTAGGGTTCTGACTCAGTGCCCTGGTGTTGTTTCCTCTGTAACAACAAGCTTCCTAAATCTAAAAAATGTATTTCATGTGCTAACATAAGTTTTTTTTAAGAGTGAATAAATATGACTGCAGTCAGGAAGAAACAGATCCTAATGGAGAAAAAAATGCTTTCACGTGGAAGCCAAAATTGAATCGCAAGTTGACATTTGTAGACTGATTGTGATCATGTGATAAAATTTCAAAGAGAATTTGTGTCCTTAATATTTTTAGTATTTTGTAGTCGTTTTGCAAAACGAATAAGGCATTTGAGGCCATGTTATTTTGTGAATTTTGTCACCTCACTGCTTAATTCTGCAACGATTTGATTCTGATTTCTTTTAAATTGCAATTTAAATGTCGTAAAAGACTGAAAAAATAAATAATGGTAAAATTATAGAATTGGGAGCAGTACTTTTAATTTAGGACATTAATACTTTTATTCAGCAAGGATACATTAAATTGATGAAAAGTAACACTGAAGATTTTTACAATGTTACAAAAGATTTCTATTTCAAATAAATGAAAATTCTTTCTTTTTATTAAAGAATCCTGGGGGAGAAAATCTTGGTTTTCACAAAACATTTTAACATTAATAATAATAATAATAAATGTTTCTTAATCATCAAATCAGCATATTAGAATGATTTTTGAAGGATCGTGTGACACTGAAGACTAGAATTATGGCTCCTGAAAATGTAAAAATATTTTCACAATATTACTGATTTACTGTATTTTTGATCAAATAAATGCATCTTACTGACCGCAACTATCTTTCACAACAGGTTCATTCATGGTTATTCATAAAATGCACTTGAAAAAGCTCTTGAGCACTTGAACTGCTCCTCTAAAAATGTCTATTAAGTGGCATTGATCAAAACAGAGCTGCAAAAAAGAACTCAAATGTAAGGTCGGTCGTCCAGACCGTATAACACAATCTCAAATCCAACCATTTCTCCTTCTGCAATATAACTTCCATGAATCACTTTCACAAACTGCACAGGTGGGGACCTCCTTCATGCATCATTTCCTCCATACATACATACATGGCCCATTCCTTCGCCCCCACACACAAACACAGCCGCTCACTTACCTTCCAGGCAGCAAATCCTCCAGAGGCCGGAGTGGGTGAGGGCTCCAGGATCTTTCTTGTCCTTGTTGTGGGGGTCATCCTGAGAGGAGTTGGCAGTGCTGTTGCAGATAAAGGCTCGAGCGTACAGCCAGTAGTCCGTGCCAATGGCCACGGTCATCAAGGCGAAGGCTGCGAATGCTCCCACAGTGGTGAGAAGCACCTGAATTCCCCGCTCGCACCACACCATGGCTGGAGTCGGGAACAGAGACACGGTTAAATGAGCGGCTAAGAGAGTGTGAACAGAAAGCTGGGTGAAGTGGACAGTGTTAAAATTGGGTATGAATAAAAAACATGAAGAAAGATTGCAATCGGAGCCCAAGGTTACAAGAAGTAGATGAGATGAATGTGTGATCCTGCAGGACATATCGAGTGTTGGGAGATCAGTTGCATTTTGTGAGGACATTCGGAGCCAAGATGCACAAATGACATCAGCCTGTCCAAATATAGGTTACTAAGATCATGAGCAAATGCCAAAGCAACATCTGAATATACCTTAAAGAAATAGAGAGGTCAAAAAGGTCATAGCTTTTAGATCATAACCAAACTGCTCACAGTCCCACTGGGCACGTAGTTGCCAGGCAGTAATTGTGAACAGTCACGAGACAGTTGTAACTGAGCATTTCTTTGCATGGATAGATCTTTTATAAGGAGCAGTTCAAGCATGTTGTTCTGGACGAAAGATATTTAGGGATATGGTCCATTGCTTCCTTGCAGTAGGTTGTTTCTGATAATAAAGCTAAATATGTCCAGTGAATGTTTACCGCAAAAAATAAATAGTTGAACCAAAATCTCTGTTCAGTGAATCTAAAATAGTTCTCAGACAGTGCTATATTACAGAGCATATGAGTGCGATCATGTGACTGACGTTTTGTGTTTAATACAACACTTAAAAAAATGATTTCGGTAACAGTGATACAAATTAGATTGAATATACATGGCCACCATTTCCTAACTATGGACAGTTGAATCTTCATTTTTGTGCAAATTCAAAAAGAACCAAATTATTCATTGACATGAAAAAAAAAATAGCTAAAAATATATATATTAAATATTCTATATATTCTATATAAAAAATAAAATAAAATAAATTATATATATAGAATCTCAACAGCTAGTAATTATCAAAAAATATAAACGCTAAACTTTTGCAATAATGTCCAGCTGACTGTACATTAATGCTACTTATTAAATTGATACTTACTAAAAAATAAATGTGGATATGAAATACTGAGTGATTTGAATGATTATTATATTTTTTATTAGTTGATTACAATGTGCAACAACACTCACTCTCTCTCTCTCTCTCTCTCTCTCTCTATATATATATATACGTATTATTTTCTGAAATTCAAGGTTATTTTGATTAGTTAGCTCAAATGTTTCATTACAATATAGCAATGTCTTCAATCTGAGTGACATGAAAGTAGCAACTGGCATGTTACCATGGACAACAGTCAAATATTATACAAAAACATTTTACAGCTCAGTTTCCACAATTGACCAATCAAGTATTCCAAATAGAGAGTTGAGTAACAAACGAACACAATGAACTCAATCATGAGAAACCAAGCAGAACGCATAAACGAAGACTGACAATGAACACTTTTGGAGATCTGAAGTCGTCTGCAAGAAAGTTCCTCGGTAAGACAACAGCAAGCTGAAAATGATGCCGTCATCCAGCGGAACTCATTCAGACTCTCACTCAAGAGCATTTCACTAAACATGACAACAAGCATGAGACACGGTGGTCTCACAGCACCGGCGGCCATTAATGAGATCCGATTACCTGGAGGAATGTGTCTTCCCTTCCCATCCATCCCTGCAGCTCTCCGGTCCTTGTCACTAAAGATTGTACCGACCAGAGCGTCCAAGCAGCATCCATCGACTGTTATCCCTCGCTCTTTATTCCCCCCCTCTTTCACGCTCCCCTCCGCTCACTCTCTCTCTCGCTCTCTCTCTCTTTCTTTCTTTCTTTCTTTCTTTCTCTCTCCTGCCCGTGGGTGGGTGTAGATTTTCTAGGTTTTGCTGCTTTTCTCCTCTTAGAGAGATTTCATGGCAGGAATCCTACTGCTTCTCCTCCTGAGGAGAAACAAACGACGAGAACAGAGCTGAAAGAGACAGAACATGTTTAAGGTGCACGCTGGAGGAAAGAAAAAACAGCTTGAGGTTGCATTCTTGCCATTAAATGATCATTATCATGACAGCAGTACATGTATTTGATCCAGGTGAGCGGTGAATCTAGATTGTTACGTCGCCTATACATCCGCGGGAAGAGCGAGGGATATATAAAGAAAAAGAGAATAGAGAGAAAGCAAGACAGAGCGTGCGCCATTCTGTCACCATGGCAACAGCGCATTCTGAAGTCGAGAACAGAACAGGATGGTGTGTGTGATGTTAGTGAGTGAGGTGATGCTAGTGTGTGTGTGGGGGGGGGGTATTCATCATAACATACCTAGTGATTTGCCAAACCCTCGACTGTCATGGATGTTCAGAACGCACCTGGCGGGTGGCTTCGATCAGCGCTCTTTTCTGGCCGTATGGTGATGTGGTAATGACATGCACAGCGAGGACAGTTGATCTGTCCCCCCATGACGAGTTCAGACTCTAATAGGCGGTTACTTAGAGTTCTGTTCTGTATGTTCAGAGTCTTGTCACTCATGCCCATTCTCAGAAACTGGAAACCAAATGGTAACAAACACCACAGCTGAACACACACAAAGGATGATAAATGCCATCAGATAAACACATGAAAAGTCCTCCAGAACTATACAAATGAAAAGTTCTCACACCTACATACATTTATTCATGTGTGTGTGTGTGTGTGTGTGTGTATAGATAGATAGATAGATAGATAGATAGATAGATAGATAGATAGATAGATATAGAAAAACGTGGAAGGAGACAATGAAGTCTAAAATAAAAATATTAGATACTGAATAAATAATTGAAATATTATTATTGTTATATGCCAAAATAAGGGTTTTAATTTCTAATGTACAAATATTGATATAATAAATTAAAGCAACTTTAAGGCAACTTTTATTAAGAAATTTCTTACACATATATTATGCATGTACTGAATTTAACAAGAATATGATTAAGAAGAAGAGGAAGATCATATCTGTCACTATATAAACACAAACCTTTTAAAATCATATTTTAATTTATTATGTAATATAATTAAAGTGCATGCAGTTTTTGCTCACAAAACTTTTGGTCTCTGCAAAGATCCTAATGGAAACATCTCACACCTACATACATTTAATATGAAAAAAAGAAGAAAGAAAAAAAAGAATAATATACCCTGGTGACAGAAAACAATAAAATAAGATTTTATATAGAATCATACATAAGAAAAATACAATAATAATTAATTCATAATAACATAACTTTATTGTTATTATGCCTAAATCAATATTTTAATTTATAATATAAAAAGTGATAATATATGCATTTTGACCTTCTGTCTCTTTTATTGAAAATTTCTTACATGTAATGAATTTCATAATAATAATAATAACTATTATTATTATTATTATTATTATTATTATACCTTTAACTAAATAAATATTTGTAAAAAATAATATTTTACTTGATCTGATTACAGTTCATGCAGTTTTTGCTCACAACACTTTTGGACTCAAAGATCCTAATAAAAATTCCATTCATATGTATTACTATGCATTATTATACATATTATTATTAGGCTACAATTACAATGATAACTTTAAAGATTTTTTTTCTAATATAACAAATACTGAAATACTATAAAAAATACTTCGAGGCACTAAACAGCAGGGTACCCTCTGGCCACATATTAGCCAAGTCTGTGGAGAAAAGGCAAGCTAGTGTTTCAATGATACATATGAATGAGCTTCTGTAGGGCATTAATGGCCTCCCAGCAGTGAAACATTCACATAACGTGGCAACCATGTGTCATGTCTGATAGAAACAACAGAGGATTCAAACGCTTTGCAGGCACGGTTCAACCTTGCCTATCTCATACAACAAGAGTAATAAACCTCTATAAACCAGTGATTTAAACTGCACATGCAGCCAGTTTCCATTGCTTTCATTATTGCTGTTGTCACATATAAAGGCATTTAGAGCCATTTAAAGTGACCGCATTTTCATTAACACGCATTGGCACTAGGTTAATGAGCACCAAGAGACATTTGCGTTTTTTGAACGAATGAATAAATGAAGAAAGGAATGAAGAAGCATCCAATCATTTTAAGGTAGACTTACCCATTTATAATGATATAGCCTAATATACGGGTATAAATGTAATTTATCGCCTAAATTGTCAAGTATAAAGTGTCAATTAACATCTCTTGTTTGTATAGGTCAGTACCACTAGAGCAACACGTAGCGATATTGCAGTGCCAGCGGACCTTCATTCGATCAATGATTTGTTGTTTTCGCCTTAAAGGGGATCATACAACATAAAACCAATGACTGCTCCCCCTCAGCTATCAAAATGACTGACAGATGTTTCTCCTGAGAGCGTTACTAGAAGCGTTCAGTCCGCGCGCGTCTCCATTAGGCTCGCGCATCTGCCATCGAGACGCGAGTCAAACGATTTAGCAATTTCACAATGTTCACAAACAACTGGGTATAAAAACAGCATAAAACACGTTCTTAATAACAATACATAAATAACACAAAAACTGATTCGAATGAAGCGCTTAACAATCGACTGAAGCTTTCGCGCGTCAAGTAAAGCGACCACAGAGCGTCCGTTAAATTCCACGATTCATTTCTGAAATTCTATAAATAAACAGGCTATGTGTTGTACAAATTGAGTCAAATCGCATAAAATGTAACTGCTTGACGTTTTCTCGCCTTACCTTTGCAGTTTAGACATGTATCCCTGTTACTTTTTGGTCGTAATTCTTTGAGGCGGCTCTGTAGAGGCGGTGAATGAGGGGGCGTTAAGAGACAGTTGTGATACGAATAAACGATGGTGAAGCAGGAATTAACCGACAGGACTTGCTTAATATTGATCAAGAGACAAATCACAGTTCTCTAGGAACAGGTCTGCAGGATGACAGACCCGAGCTAATCGAACAAAGCATACAGATTCTGTCAGAGAGTGAAGAATTGACCGACTGTAGGCTGCTTGACCATCTCAGACTTAGCCTTAGGTTTTAAAATGGCACATAACATTTTCTTTGTAATTTTTTGGATTGTTTCATTATGTGACACACTTTCAAGGAATTAAAAACCTTAAAGGGAAAGAGAGTTTAATATGGCTAATGAGGGCAATGATTATTTACAGTCTATCTGACATGTTTTGGTCAGAATGCACCTTATTTAGGGTAGGGTGAGTTCAGGTTGATTGGGACATTTTGTCCCAGTCATCTCAATGACAAAACGTGTCCTAATTTACCCGAATTTACCCCTGTGTCATATTTATTTGCATTTTCCCTCACAGCCTTCTATTCATTTGTGAAAAAATATGACACCTACCCTGAATAAGATCCATAATTCAGCCTATTTGTAGTGAACTCTAAGATCAGATAGCAATTAAAGCATATACAAAATTGCAAAGGTCCCACATATTTTACACAATATTTGAAGTAAATCCACCTAAAATATTTGTAAAGAGAACATTTGCTATATCAGGTGACATATGGTTTTGTAACTCACATTAAGGGGATAAAACATCATCTGATATCGATAAGCAGGTGGTGGGCTTTGGATCCCTGAAAAGGCATAATGAACCCCCATAAGAAATTATTAAAGATATTTTTACAGGAAAATAATAATTGCCATAATTTATTATTCCAAATAGTCTAATACTGGCCAATTAATCAGTCTTGACCAACCAAACTTGGAAGATTTTTAATGGAGAAATGGATCAGGAAATATATATATATATATAT